AGAAAAAAACAACAGGCGGGAGGAAGCGGCGGGTGCTGCTGCTGCTGCTGCTGATTTGCTGCTGCTTTGAACTTGTGTTTGCTGCTCATCTCTCGCCGCGCCTTCAGCAGCTGGCGGCTGCCTTCGGTGTCCTGCAGCAGCAAAAGAAGAAAATAAAAAAAAAGATTTTAAATAAATAAATAAATAAATAAAAATGAATAAATAAATAAATAAATAAAAATAAACAAAATAATTAACTCAATTGCCTCCAAGGGCGGCGCGTGAGCCGCGCAAAAGTACTGCTGCTGCTGCTGTTGCTGCTGCTGCTAGTATTGCTGCTGCTGCTGCTGCTGCAAGTATCGCTGCCGCTGCATTAGCTGCTGCTGCAGGTACGGCTGCTGCTACCACTACTCATTGCTGCTACTGCCACAATATCTGCTGCTGCAGCGACACCAGCAGCAGCAGCTGCTGCTGCTGCTGAATTAGCAGCAGCAGCTGCTACCGGTACTGTTACGAATACGGTTGCTGCTGCTACTGCTCCTGCTGCTGCTTCTATTGCTGCCGCTGCTACTGCTGCTGCTGCTGCTGCTACTGCCAATGCTGCTGCTGCTGCTGCTGCTCCTGCTGCAGCTGCTGCTCCTTACTTTGAATGCGGGGTTTGTGGGGTCTAGGGCAAAGTTGTGGCTGTGCAAAACGCGGCTGAAGCGAGCGTCCTCCAAGTCCAGCTAAAAACAAATGATAAATAAATAAATAAATAAATAAATAGATAAATAAATAAATAAATAAATGATAAATGAACAGCAGCAGCAACAAAAAGAACAGGAGCAGCAGAAACGGCAGAGGCAGCAGAAAGAACAGCAGCAGCAGCGGAAGCAGCAGCAGCATCAGCAAAAAGAGCAGCTGCAGCAGCAACAGCAGCAGAAAGCAGCAGCAGCAGCGGAAGCAGCAGCAGCAGCAGGAATTGCAGCAGCAGCAGCAGAAATCGCAGCGGCAGCAGCAGCAGAAATTGTGGCAGCAGCAGCGGCGGGAAGAATAGCAGCACTAGCAGCAGCAGCAGAAACAGCAGCAGCAGCAGAGACAGCAGCAGAAGCAGAAACAGCAGCAGCAGCAGCAGCAGCAGCAGGAAGAGCAGCGTCACCTTGAATCCTGTTTGCTGCTGCTCCAAAGTTTCATCTGTATCTTTAGAATTTATTTTTGTTTTATTTTTAATTTTGTTTTTTGCCTTTTTAATTTTGCTGCCTCTCATATCAAAGTGCCTTCCCTCCTGCAGCAGCACGCGCAGCACAAGGGTTTAGGGTTTAGGGTTTAGGGTTTGCTTTTTATTTACATTTTTATATTTCGATTTATGGCAATTAAAAAGTGAACCCCAAACCCTAAACCCTAAACCCTAAACCCTAAACCCCACAATTTGGAAACAAGAACGGAAGTACATTCAGTTACCTCATCGCTGAGCTCTTCTTGCTGCTGCTGCTGCTGCTGCTGCTTCGCCTTTGGCTCTGGCTCTTCCAAGAAGAGAGGGAACTGAACAAATAAATAAAAATAAATAAATAAATAAATAAATTAATTAATTGGAAATAAGTAGTAAATTAATTAAAAATAAATAAAAAATAAATAAATAAATAATAACTTATTGATGCATAAACTCGTAGCCACAGCAGATTCGGCAGCAGCTGCAGAAGCCCCGCTGCTGCTGCTGCTGTTGCTGCTGCTGCTGCTTCTGCTGCTGCTGCTGCTGCTGCTGCTGTTGCATGCATTGACTCACCGCTGCTGTCTTCTTTTTCTTCCCCTTTTCCCTCTTGTCTTTTGTTACTCGGATGAGATCCTGTGGCATAAACCCTAAACCCTAAACCCTAAGCCCTAAACCCTAAACCGTAAACCCTAAACCCTAAACCCTAAAACAGCTACAGTAGGGGCCCTCAAAAACACCTAGAGGGCCCCTAAACCCTAGAGCTAAACCCTAGCGAAGTGGCAGCCACAGGCCTAGGGGTTAGGGTTTAGGGTTTAGGGTTTAGGGTTTAGGTGTTGGCACACATCATCACTGAGGTCTTCTTCTTCGGACTCTTCTCTTTGCTTCCTCTTTGCCTTTTTGCTGCTAGCAGGAGCTGCTGCTGCTGCTGCTGCTGCTGCTGCTGCTGGAGGCTCTTCGTCGCTGTCAGCTGCTAAGTCTTCGAGGGACTTTTTGAAAGAAACCCTAACTCCTTTTTCTGAATAAAAAAGTAAAATAAATAAATAAATAAATAAATAAATAAATAAATAAATAAATAAAGTAATATAATTAAACTAATTAAATTAAAATTGATTTAATTGGTTATTTAATTGATCAATTAGCTGCAGGCGGAGCAGCTTCCTGCTGCCTAGGGTTTAGGGTTTAGGGTTTAGGGTTTGACTACTGCCTGGGACTTAGGGTTTAGGGTTCGACTACTGCCTAGGGTTTAGGGTCTAGGGTTGGACTACTGCCTGGGACTTGAGGTTTAGGGTTTGACTACTGCCTAGGGTTTAGGGTTTAGGGTTTGGCTCGCCTGGGGTTTTGTTGAATGCGGCCCTGGCGTCTCCGTCTGAAGAGTCCGACATTTCTGCGAAGTCCTTTAAAGAAATAAAAATAAATAAATAAATAAATAATAAATACTAAATAAATAAATAAATAAATAAATAAATGGTAATAAATGCTTCTCAATCCTAAACCCTAAACCCTAAACCCTAAAGGTGTGAGTGGAGAAGCTAGGGTTTAGGGTTTAGGGTTTAGGGTTTGGGGTTTAGGGTTTGGTACGTGCAGGCATTCACCCCAAGCAACTCCTTTCTAAATGACTCCAGGTTCTCTTCAGTGATTTTCTTCCACCCCTTCTGCTGCTGCTGCTGCTGCTGCTGCTGCTGCTGCAGCTCCGTGTCTTCTTCTGAATCTTCCGAAGAACCCAAAAAGGCATCCAAGTCTTGTTCATCCAATTCTTTTGATGTAAACCTTGAAGTGCATGCACTCATTATCAAATTAAATAATTATACAGTTAGCAGCAGCAGCAGAAGCAGCCAGCAGCAGCAACAGCAGCGTAAGCCGAAAGACAAACTTTCGACGCAGCAAAAACCAAAGGACAACCGGCAGCAGCAGCAGCAGCAGCAGCAGCAGCAGATTTACTTTTTTCTGAGGAATTTGACTCTGTCTTTGGGGCTTTCGTCCCAAGTGAGTTCCACTTTTGAATGCCTGAGGGCGTTGCTGCTGCTGCTGCGCCCGTTTGCTGCTGCTGCCAGCCTCTCTGCTGCTGCTGCTGCTGCTGTTGCTGCTGCCAGATCCTCGCGAGTTGCTGCTGCTGTCAAGTTAGCAGCAGGCAGCTCCAGCTCATCAGGAACAAAACGAATGTCCAGCCCGTTTAAGGCAAAATTCTACAAATAAATAAATAAACAGATAAATAAATAAATTAATTAATTAATAATAAATAAATAAATAATAAATAAATAATACGTGATTATTAGACAAACAAACAAGAAATAAAAGAAATCAAAACAATTAACTGCAAATTCAAAAGCATCAAACCCCACACAACTAATTGCCCCTTCAGGGGGCCCCCACGGGCCCCCGGGGGCCCCCTAGGGGCCCTCTGGGGGCCTCCCGGGGGCCCCAGGGGGCCCCCCAGGGCCCCCCAGGGACCCAAAGGGGCCCCCAAGAGCCCCTAGGGGGGCCCCAGGGTCCCCAGGAGGCCCCGAGGGTCTCTTTGGGCCCTTGGGGGCCCCGAAAGATCCTCTCAAACCCCTGGGGGCCCCCAAGGGGCCCCCGGGGGGCCCCCAGGGGCCCCACAGGGGGCCCCCGGGGGCCCCCCGGGTTCGCGTTTGTTGCAGTTTGAAGCTATAAGTTGTGCATTAATTGTTAAATAATTAAACAATTCAATAATTGAATTGTTTAATTCTTTAATTGTTTAATTTTATTTATTTATTTATTTATTTATTTGTTTATTTATTCATTTATTTTCATTTGCTGGTCACCAGCTCGCAGCCGTCCAACTCGTCGTAAATTCGCTGCGCCGTCTCGACGGAGTCGAAGTAGCAAATGGCATAATAGTAACTGAATAAATAAATAAATAAATAAATAAATAAATAAATAAATAAATAATAAATAAATAAAAAAATAAATAAATAAATAAATAAATAATTAAAAAGGTTAAGGGATAAATGAGCAGTTAACTGGGAGTTGATAGATGGTCGTTTGGTGGCCTACTGATGGCTAGCTGGCACAGGGGCTTTTTGGCTAGCTAGCTAGCTGGCTAGCTAGCTAGCTAGCTAGCTAGCTGGCCGGCTAGCTAGCTAGCTAGTTAGCTGGATAGCTAGCTCCTTAGCTAGCTAGCTATCTATGCGGTTAGCTAGCTGTTTAGGTGGCTAGCTGGGTAGCTCTTTACGTAGCTAGCTGGCCCTTCGGCTAGCTAGCTGGCTAGCTACCCAGCTAGCTAGCTAGCTAGCTAGCTAGCTATCTGGCTAGCTATCTCTCTGGCTAGCTAGCGATCTATCTTGCTAGCCAGCTAGCCAGATAGTCAGTTATTTGGCTAGCTATTCATCTGGCTAGCTACAGCTAGCTGCACAGCTAGCTAGCTAGCTAGCCAGCTAGCTAGCTAGCTAACTAGCTATTATGGCTCACCGAGAACGTTCCACCTGGTACTTCCTGAGGACTTCCTGCAGAGCCTTTTCTTGTTCAGCTGAAGGCTGCATCTCCTCGTCGCTGCTGCTGCTGCTGCTGCCTTCATCTGCTGCTGCTGCTGCTGCTGCTGCTGTTGCTGCTGCTGCTGCTTTTGAGCGTTTCTTTCGCGGCCTCTCCGCAGCTTTCCAGTCCTAAACGATCAGTCCACACCGCAGTCCCTAAACCCTAAAACCTAAACCCTAAACCTTAAACACTAAACCCTAAACCCTAAACCCTAAACCTTAAACACTAAACCCTAAACCCTAAACCCTAAGCTGACCACTGCTGGCCCCTTAATCTTTTCCACTTCTATTCTTTCCTTTCCAAATTCCGAAAGATATATCTCCACTTTCTTGACGTGGGGCTCCTCGCTGCTGCTGCTGCTGCTGCTGCTGCTGCTGTCTGCTGCTGAGTTCTTTAAGTACTGCTGCAGCAGCAGCAGCAAATCAGCAGCAGCAACAGCATCCCAGTCCAGGCCCACCAACGCCAGCCGCGAGGAGACAGACGAATCCTAAAAGAGAAAACAAAAAGAATTATTTAATTTGATTTAATTTAATTTAATTAATTTAATTTAATGTAATTATATTAAAACAGCCAACAGGGGCCCCTTTGGGTGGCCCCAAAAGGACCCCTAAGGGGCCCCCAAGCCATTCTTTGGGGGGCCCCAGAAGGTACCCAGAGGGGCCCCCTGAAGGGCCTTTTGAAAGCCCCCATGGGGCCCCCCAAAGGGGCCCCTAGGGGCCCCCACGGCCTCCCGGGGGCCCCAAGGGGCCCCCAGGGGGCCCCCAGGGGCCCCAAGGGGCCCCCAGGGGGCCCTCAGGGGGGCCCCTGTTTGAGCTTTGTGTAGGAGATTAGCTGACCATTGGTGCATCTGCATGCGAGTCCCAGAGCTTGGAAGCTGCTTGCTGCTGCTCCTCTTCGTCTTCGCTGCTGCTGCTGCTGCTGCTGCTGCTGTCGCTGTCGCTGCTGCTGCCTGCAGCAGTTGCTGCATCTTCCTCGTCAGCAGCAGCAGCAGCAGCAGCAGGGGGGGGCCCCCCAGCACCTTCATCTGCTGCAGCATAAAGCTGCAGCAATTCTGTGCGAGCCACTTCAGCAGCAAGCCGGTCCCTTGGCAGCAGCCCCCCCGTGGGGGCCCCGCTGGGGGCCCCTTGGGGGCCCCCCTGGGTGGCCCCCTGGGGGGCCCCCTGGGTGGCCTCCTGGGGGGCCCCCTTGGGGGCCCCCTTCTTTTTGGATTTAATTCTTCCATATTTGTCTACAGCAGAACTGCTGAGGCCCTTGCCAGTCAAGAAGCGAGGCTCTTTTAAAATGC